CTATCATATTGTGGTTGTTATCATCCATCAATTGCCTAAAAGCCAACTGGTTATCTGTGGTTAGGATAGGCAACGTGCTATAACCCACTGACCCTTGGTTATTTGTCATAAACTGATTCGCCCCAGACCCAGATCCTAGTTGTGGAGATGAATTCGATGTGGAATTGTGTAAACCTGCCATAAAAGATGTTGGCATTCCGTAAGAAGAACTTCTAATTCTATTCCCATCGAAGCCGGGTGGTCTAGTTAATGGTGTGGCGAAATGGGATTGTGTCCCTGATGGTGGAACGAATCCCCCAGGGTAGCCCATGGTTCCAGTATTTCCTAAGATCGAACTATTAGTTGATATGCCACTTACTCCATTGGTGGCTATGTTACTGGTTGAAGATGCAACAGACTGTGCATTCGAAGGGATTACATTAGATGTTCCGCTCGAAATGGACGCGTTAGTGCCTGTTGCATGTGGGCCACCTTGGTCTCCTTGTTGATTGTCTGAATTAGACATTTTGTCCAAACGTTTTCTTCTGGATAAAGGTTGGTTGCTGTTGGTTATCTTACCACTTCTCAGGTTCATAAAACAGCAAACTTCTTAGGTTCCTACGTTTTTGTAATGGCTACGTCTCGACAATTCTTAATTCTGATATCCAATTATTGGTCCCATCAGGTGTGCCAATTTGTTTCCAGTGATTTCTGGTAAACAACCGCTAGTCTTCCAAACTATCGAATAATCTTTCTTACTGTTATTCAATCTCTCTGGTAACTCACAGGATCGACTAGATTGATCCTAGGACTCCTTGGATATTAAGGTTACTCTCACAATCGAACAATTATTCATGGTTGCTATTGTATAAGTGTTTGGATTACTTCGATCTCTCTCTCTAAGAGTCTAAAAACGTAGTCAAAATGTATATGAAAACTAAGTTATACGAATAAATGCTAATTGTAATGCTGATTGTAGAGACATATAAAACTGCATGAATAATGAAGTAAATGGTTTCGACTTACAAAACGTTTAACATAAAAGGTTTCTGGAATGTTGAAGTTTAAAATATTCAAAAAAGCGTTTAATGCAAGAAATCTGTAAATGATTTTAAGTAAAAGTATGCGCTTGAAGAACAATACTTGAAAGTAAAGGTATTGAAAATGTGACAATTCTCTGAAATGTAAAGTGCTCGAAATATAAAGAAAACAGTAAAACGTAGAACTTTGAGTAAAAGACTTCGAAATGAAAAGATTGTAAATAGGAAAACTTGCAAATATTATTTGACAAAAAGAAAAGAGGAAAGTACTGGAAATGGTAAAAGGCTTTCATTAAGTTAGAAATACATGGTGTTATCATACATACATTTCTCTTGCATTCGTTTCCCTTGCCATGTGGTAGTTTGAATGTTATTGAGTATTTTGTATAACAGATATGACACACCGAAATCCTAATACTAAGACTTCTATTTATACTAATTCGACCCTAACGGTCTCGCTACAGGATTATGCCACGTTTCGAACATGCAAGACAATGCTTCTTTCATCTTTCCACGTGTCCCCAAATGCTCCAACACATAACTTTCAAACTTTGAAAGTCCCGCTTCCATTTGAATTTTAAATGCTTTTGGTGTTTCTCTATTTCGAGCGTTCTTCCCAAACATAGCCTCGCTGTTGTTTCGAGACTCCTTTGGATATGTTCCCATAATTACCGTTCGAAGCTTCAAGCTTTGACACACTTATTCGAAACACTGCTTCTGCAACTTCGAAATATGGCGTTTGATTCCATTTCGATCAGAACTTTTAACTCTTTTGGCTTCTAAATAACATTATCAAAATCTTCAGCCAACACTTGGATCATGAAGACCCCGGGCAACACCGCAGATTAAATCCTAAACTATGCATTTACCGGTCACGAACATGCGTTTGTCGGACGTACGTATGAATCTGTCGAGCTAAATATGAATCTACCGGACTAATCCTAGGCGTACAGTCTCTAAACGTCTAAAAACGATGAAAAATCATGCATCACAACAGAGAAACAAAGGAGACAAGTCACTTACTTGGAATCAAGAAGGAAATTTGACGACGGAGGAAAGGAATCAGCGACGGAGATCGCGGCGGTCCTATAAGAATCTGGGAAGAACAGTAACAGCAGAAACAGAGTGAAGAGGAGAAGCGCGAAGAGTGGAAACACGTTCTGGAGCCCAAGGACCCTATTTATAGTGATGACGTGGAATACCAAACGTCACCTCGGGCAACCACGGATTTCCCTCCTCGACGCACAGCTCCCCTAGGCAATGATGACCCTATCCTCCATAGGGTGGCGGCGCAGTTACCAAAAGAGACCTCGCGTGCTCGACAGACGCAGGCTGCCGAGAAATCCCTCGAGCATTCCTCGCAAGGAACTTGTCCACGAGAACGATACGGGGAAACCCTCGAGTACCCCACGAGGAGCCGCATCTCTTGCTCGGATACGAGGCCCCACAACGGAAGCGACCTAAGATCAAGTCATGGCTCCTAACTCAAGGAACCACGACTTGGGGGGCTCCTGTTCTGGACTGGGCCGGGCTGACCCAAGAGCAACGATAAAGGCCCAATCCAAACGGACTTGCTAGGGGTCACGCCGATCTAAGGACCATAGTTATGCCCGACATACGTCACTGGGGCGACGTCCTCGACCTCGTACTATCCAGCTCGACCTCAGCTCGAGCACTCCTCCAACAGCGGACACGGTCCACTACACTCTCAACGAGACCCCGAAAAGACCGCGTCCTTGTCCGCCCGCACTTCACGCAGGACATCCAGGAAGAGGACCACGTGCGGGTCCCCACTACCCACGTAGAACCTGGCAGTTCCTCCATTGGGCCAAACCTGCCCGGCCCAATGAAGGAACCTTGGCCCAGCGTTGGGGGCTATAAATACCCTCTGTTCCCAGAGGGTCAGGTATTCATTCTATCACATATACTCACACTTCGCCTGCTCGTACTCTTACTTACTTAAGCATCGGAGTGCTTTGCAGGTACCCCCCCCCCCCCCCCCACCTCGTTCAAAACTTCAGCTCGGAGCCAGCCGTGACGGTCCAAGTCTGATCAGGTTAGATCAAAACCCTTGAATTTTTCTAAGTGTTTGAAAATCTTCAATTTTGACTTTTGTTGACTTTCTTGATTCTTGATGATAAAATTTGATAGTTTTGAATGTTTTGATGATTCTTGATTTTTGAATTCTAATATTGACCAAAAAGTTAAAGTTTGACTTTTGTGTGACTGTTGACTTTTTATCAATTGATTCAATTCTTCAACTATCAATCACTTGCATCTTTGGAAATGTCTTGAGCCATGTAATTAGGTCAAGATGTTGTATTTGAGCCCTTGAGATCATGCTTTAAGCCATTAGGTCATACACTAGGTCAAAAGTCAATGATCATTCAATCAAAACCTTAATTTGGAAATTTTTGACCTTTGATGATTTGAGGGCTTTCCTTGAGGAATAATGATCAACCCTTGATCAAATGATGAATATCACCTCAAAATGTTGATGTTGACAAAAAATCTTGAAGTTTGACTGTATGTTGACCATAGTTGACTTTTTTACTCAATACAAATGATTTTCAATCATCTAAGCAATTGACTGAGCAAACATGTGATGCAAGACTTGAAACTTGACATAAACATTATTGAGGACTTATGATGAACTATGAAAGTCATTTGAGACCCTTGCAACCCAATCTTCTTTGAGAAGACCAAACCCTAGTTGAAGACCCTTGCTTAGGAGGTGGTTTTGACCAGTCAACTCTAGAGTAGTTTTGAGCAAATGGTGACCTCGTGAAAATGTCTTGAAGAAAATGGGAGGGAAAATTTTAGGGTACAACAACCTGATTTTTTTATGAGCTTAAAAAATCGTTGTATGGTCTAAAATAAGCTCCCAGAGCCTGGTATGAAAGACTTGCAACTTTCTTTTGAAAAATGACTTTACAAGAGGAAATATTGACATAACTCTGTTCTACAAATCATATAAAAATGATATTTTAATAATCTAGATTTGTATTGATTGTATTATATTTGATTCTGCTAATGCTACTCTTTGCTTAAAATTCCTTAAGTATATTCACGCTTAATTTAAGATGAGTATGTGAATTGGTCTTGTAGAATTTCGGTGCTCTTTAAGGAGAACATTCTTAGTAAGATGGATGTTTTGGGAACGATTAAGACTTTATCTTGGGATTTGTTTAATGCTTACCAACTATAACGCCCCACACATACATTGTCTAAGATATATGTATATGCATTAATAATGGCACATCACATCATACATAAGTCATTGAATACTAAGGAGGCGTCTGATTCCCTAATCGAAACGGAATTGCACTCCGAGGAAGGAAAATTATGCAATTTCTATCGGGAGGACTCACTAAACGAGGTCCTAACTCAATTAGATCAAACATTCTGGATTTGAAACCAATTTTATTAGAAAGTAAATTTTACTAACTTTCTAACGATAGGAACCACGCGTCATTCTGACACCCAAGGCGAAAGTTACGAATTTCTAAAATTTAAAAAAATTTCTACCTGACACAATAATACCCAAGTATCAGACACAACAGATGTACGGGAATTCAGTGTTCAGGAGGTGTATCCGGGTACAGCTATGAAAAAAGAGTAATTTTTTTGTGATCCCATTGGTGTATTAATCCCGGACGGTGTTGGGTTTAGTGGATCCTTTGGGGGGTCGGTTTTTTGTTTTTGTTACATCCGTGGGTTTTGTTAGTGTGTTTCGTTTGTTGGTTGTAGAAGGGTAATCACCATGTGTTCCTTTTTAATTCCATTTTTATTATCAAAGAAAAAATCACAAAAGAATATTTAAATCTACATATTAGAATAATTGTACATTATTACATTTATGTCTTAGAGCACCTTTTCACACAAAAGAATATCTAAATATACTTAGAATACAATTAGACTATATTATTACATTTATATGCATGAATAATATGAAGTTTTCTTTTGTAAACAAATTGTTAACTAAATGTAAAAGTATGTAGATGGGTCAGTTGCATTTGTTGTGTCTTTGCAAAGGATAGATCTGGCTTCACTCACTGAGCGAGGAGGCTCAATATCTTTCTCTTGCAATGCATTTCCTCTTAACCTTTGCATCTGGGAAGCAAATGTGTCATCCAATATCTACAAATTGAAAGAAGAAGAATCAATCAAGATATTAGTTATTGACTATTACTAAGTCTTGCCTATTGAATCCAGCAAGAACACAAGACAAAAAAAGACAGCATAAGATGATTTCTAATATTCACTTACCCCGAGAGCGTAGCATGATCCGTTGTACCATATTCTATTTTCTTTCCTCCCTTCTAGAAATTTCAAAATGATCTAGCACGTTTGTTCAAATAATTTAGATTAGATCTGAGGAAAAGGTTGGAGCCAATTATGAGTAACATGTAGTTGGTCTCACCTGTCCCATTCTATCCCATAAACCACGACATATTGCTATGAAAATTTGGCTGGTAAACACCTCATGAAGGTTGGAGATGAAGTCAATGAGTTGTGAATTCAACAACTGCATTCTCTCACGAACGTCTGCTTCTCCATCTGATTCTCTTGTTTCCTCAAGCATCTTTTTCAGCCGCGTGCTCTTATTACCTTGAACCTGACCAATTCAAAATGTTTTTTAAGGTATAGAAATACAATGTTATATACAAGGGGACATAGAGCTATAACATAGAAAAGTGGAGTCTTAATGAGTTTCTTACATTGTTGACAATATTCCCTATTATTGCTTGCAAATAAGTTTTGTATCTGGTTCTCAATAGCACGGTTATTCCGTTCATTTGCTCTCCAAACAATTTCTTGTCTCCCATGACAGGTAGACAGGATGCCCATGAATTTAGGATGTCTTCCACTCTACAATGAAGGACATCAAGAATCCTCTTGACGGTGTTCAAAAATATTCCTAACTGGAGATAGAAATATTAATTGTAAGAACATGTATCAGTAAGTAAACACATTATAGATAGAAGCGACCAAAATATATAAGCATGAATGAGTGCACAGAACTTACTTGGTTAGGAATTAATGGAACAGTAGCCGATTGTCTTCTTGCTAGCTTTTGAACTTGCAAGTGAAGTCTCTTTGGTATGCTATCTTTCAAAGGAGTTAAGATGTCGCTATATTGTTTTTCAAGTGATTTTACAATCGCCCTTTCAATATTTGCAACAGCCTTCCAGAAAGAAAAAGGGAAAATACAAAGTCAAGATATTGCTATTTATTAAACAAGATCTTAAATGCACAAAGACATGATTTAGGACTAACATTTTCCAAATACAATGAGTATTGAGGCCATCTATTGATTACTACTTCATACTGGATTAGGTTGTCTTTAATGTCCTCATACATTTTCTCAGCAAATGGAGAGGTGGAATGGTTTGTTGTTACTCCAGCCCATGGGACCTGTGTCATTTGTTTTTATTAAGGAAAAGTTATTCACTCATAGAGTTAAGTGTTTTGTATATAGAATAACTAATATAATGACTCGACTACCTTTTCTGCTTTACAAAGATCAAGCAAATTAAGTTGCATATCCTGTATCCAAACCATGATGTAATTGTGGAACAGATTTCTGGAGTCTACACCTCCCTGCACAGAACTGAAAAGAAATGACATGGTTATCTCTCGTGGAATCTAAAGTTTTTGTGCTGAATATAGTGGGTGCAAGGGGAAAAGTTCTCATTGACAAGCAAACCTTATATTCCATGACTCGAGATCTCGTTCAAAGTCAGCAGTTGCCACTAGAAGCTCATTTACATGTGCCTGTGGACTTGATGGTGGCCATGCAGAAAGGAAAGTTCTTAGCCTTTTACACAGTTCTGTGCTGTATATGGCTGCTGTAATGTTTGCCAGGTCAATTGAACTGAAAATTGAATAATTGATCTCAGAATGTAATCAAAAACTAAACTTGCATGACTGTTAAATTGTATTGCCTACTTGCAAAGAAGAGATGCTGTAGAATTATAGCCAAATACCTGGGAAAAATATGTTGACCGTGGATTGTATTATGGCCGTTGATCTTTATGTCTGCCTGAATTTCATTCCTTATAGAAATACAAAGATTTTTCATTTTCAGGTATGCCGTTGAGATAGTAACAGTGTCCATTGGGTAACTTTCAGGAGCACCCGACATAAATTCATCGGTCTCCATCATGTGTTTTCTACACCTTTTTCTTGCTGCGGTCTGTCAATATTAACCACTTCATTTAGATTTCAAAAAAAAAAATCTCATATTGATGTTGCAGGGATGATCTAGAAAAACTTCATGAGGTCGTATGAAGTGCAGTTTTAATATTTTCCTAAACCTCATAATCATTAGAAGGTATCGCTAAATCTTTTCAAGACTTGAAATTACATTGAACAAATGCATCATCTATCAGTATAATGACAATATAATTTACCTGCAAATATTTCTGCAGAATAGCTTGAGCATCTGGAGATAGTATATCATGAAGACTACTGAAGACCTGTAAAGCAGGACGTAGAGCTGGTGCTGCAGAATCAGATGCTGGACCAAAATGATCGGTTAGACCCGTTGGCAAGTTTTCATCGAGAGATTTGTAATTCTCGAAAACAGTCGCTAGTAGTCTTTCAATTTGAGTTTGACAATCCAAAAGTATACTTCTCTGTGAGAACAAACAAGTAGAGGAATTGTTAACCACAACAAGCTAATTCCAAAGTGATGAATTACATTAAATTAGATCTGAGATGGAAAATAAGACAAACATCAGTCATTCAAAGAACATTTTCTGAAGTTTTACATTTCTGTCATGTTTTTTTTATGTCATGTGCTAACTCAGTTGAGAAATCAAGAGCGAAAATTAATAGAAACAAATGAAAAGAAAGAACGACTTTATTGGATGAGAGAAGGAACTTGAGGAGAGACTCCAACTGTTTCCACTTCTACAAAGGATTTCTCCTATCACAAACTTTCAAACTCCCAAATATTACAGAATGCGCTTCCTCTTATTTTTATCATTATATAACTACTTAGCTTCTTCAAATGTTTTCCATCTGATTCCTATATCTAACTGCGGAGCACAAGTATAAGGTTGTCTACTCTAAATTCTAAGTTAATCTCATTGTATTAACATGTTAAATAAAAGTAAAGCATGAACAACATAAATTAAGTAAGCTGACGTATAATTTTGAGAAGTTACCTCTTGCCTGGTCAGACTCCTCTCACTTCTGGCCTTCATTAAGGGATCAAGCAACTCTTTCACAAGCTCTAGGCAGTCCTTGGTTGGAGTTGCCACATTCATCACCTGTAATAGAAATCTACAAGAAGACCCACCACAAGGTAAGTGAAGGTTCAAAAATGAAAAGCAATTTTACGGTGCGTGAAGAATGTTCAAAAAACTGATTCTTTTTAGCTCTGTCAGAGGGCATCCAAATGACATTCAGTTACCTCAATTTAGAATATGAATTAGAAACTCCATAATAGTCCGCAAATGCATCTAACAACCATTTCCATGGCCCATTTAGCCGCAAGTTTCGGGAGTGGAAACGCTGTGCATGCATCGCACCCTCCAACAATATATCATAAGCTTGAGTTTCCACGACAGGACCACTCTGCAAAAATTATAAAAAACAGGAAAAATGATTATGCTCAGACTCATCATAATGAATAGCAAGAAACAATTACGTTGGTGGTTAATGGCTGTAACCCAAGTAAAACTACTTATAAGACGTGCCTTTAAAGTAAATATTCCAATTAGTCCTCAGTCTAAACAAACTGGAATAACTTTTTTATTTTATAGCTAGATTGATAACAACTTCATATCCCACTCAACATTTAATCTTAGAAAGAGGATACATTTCATCTATAATGCTTGATACGATGTCAGTCTTTATCTTGTCCACTTGGAAGTTTCTTATATTGACAAACTAGAAAAAATTTCTTTGTTAAACCCAATAATTAATGAACTAGAGTAAACTTTGATATAAGTATAACCTTTATATGATTGTTGTCATCACTTTTCATTGTACTTCCAATGGAGAGCTGGATCTTGCCAACACATTCATTGTCATCATGATTTATTGGCCACCACCGAATTTTGTCATTCTGCATATGTGATTCAACATAATTATTACATGAATCTGGATTATATAAGGGGAAAGAAGAGTAATTTTTATGAACGAATATGGCAGTACAAAACATACAGGATTATCATTGAGGTATGAAATTGGAATTCTTGCTTCACCATGGATTGCCTTCTTAGAATCTTGGACTTCTACGAGTAAGGCATCCCCTTGGCTTAAGGGGAAACTGAAATTATATAACAGTTATAAGATCCTTGAGATTATCAACAATAAGTGCATTTCTACAAACAATTGGAACTTAATGAATAATGTTTGAGTTTCAACTGTTAAGAGTTGTTCCCCGCGTAAAGTTTCTTCAACAATAGTCTAAAGACTGTATATCATGCTAAGATGTATTTTCACATGTTTCTAACCGCCTAACAGCAGGTCAGTTAGAAGTAGTTTTCCTAGTAAGAACATCAAATTATGAAGTGGAAGATGAAACTTACAAATCATGATAATCTCCACTTCCAGGTCGAAGAAAAATTGCAGAACACGGCTCTGATGCATCATTTTCTTCTGTCACACTCTTGAGTTGGATCAAACAATACAGTGGCTCTACAAGAATAAAACAGATTCCTTAAACTCATTTATAGATACGCAATAGCAGGATTAACCATTATAAACAAAATTAAAAAGCTCAATTTATCAGCTTGTGAATGGTGAAGCAAAAAAGTGTTGCAGAAACCTTCCTCAAGCATGCACTAACCTTCTGTTGTCCCTGAGAATGATGATGACTTCATAGAATTTATACCACTTTTCACAAGGGATGAAACTTGCCGGACATACTCCATTCCAGCTTGCTTATACATTGACCCTCGGTTTGAAAATGTGCCCTTTAGTTTTCGTCTTTGTATAATACGAAGTTTCTTTACTGCAAGTTTCACATGATACCTCAAATTTAGTGATTATAAAATAATGTGTCCAAACAGGATCAAATGTTTCAAACACCATCATGATTATACTAGTCATTTTTCATGTGTAACTAAAAAACTAACCAAACATGTGCCATTTTGCACATCAATGTACAAAAAAAAATTTGCAATTCATAAGGTTACCTTCCACTCTTATTTTCCCTACAACCTTCTTAGTCTTGAGCGGTACTGTTTGTTCTGAATTCCTTGTACATCCTTCAGTTGGCTTTATACCTCGAGGTTGCAACAAGAACTCGTGCAATCTACAAAATTATAGAAATCATTGAGCATAATAAATGAAGCCAAAGAAGTATTTTTTGTACAACCAAACAAAACCTACCCAAAGGCACTTCGAAGAGCCATACACTCATCTTTAAGAAACTCTGGGGCCTCAGCACAGCCTCTTGCCCATGCTTGCAGGCATAGACGAATGCAGGCGTCATAAGTGATAAGGGTTTGCCAGGCATGTTGACTATTGCAACTGCTGAGATGCCTGCCATCAAAGGAAAAGAGGATATCAATTTAATTTTCAAAATGATAATATGAACTAAATATCATCAAAGCTAATATGTAAATTCAAATCTCAGACTTAAGACACTTGAATAGATAATTGAGTTGTTCATATTTATTGATCTCATACTAAGTTTTACCAAAATGCACCAAGTTAAAGTTATTACTTATCAAATAATAACAGATCTGTGATAATTGTTGCATAAAATAGAAAGCTAAAAGTTTATGTGACAGCACCTGTTGTTGAGATATTGCAAGTGTGGAAGAGACTGCCTTTCTATGTCTCCTGTAGAAGTTGTTTCCCGTCTGCACATTTCAACATCAGAATGTCACTCACTGCATTCAAAAAAGGAAAGAAATTCCAAAAAGGAAAGCAACACAAGCCAACAAAAAGAAGAGGAATTAATTAATTGCATCACAGTAATACCTTTCAGCAACATTATTAAATTTCTGTTCGATTGAACACTCACTCCTTCCTCCATCATCACAATTCACAGAATCTTTTGAAGTCCAAGACGACCTCTGCGTCTGAGTCGGCTGAGTCGTTTCATCCACTTCATTCGTCACAGAGCCTTCTGAATAAGGAAGATCAACTTCACCACTAAAAATAGGAGGAGCACTCGGAGTAGCCAAATCAACAGGATCATTCAAATAACTCATACTTTGAAACCGAACATTTCCTCCTCCGCTTCCACTCCCACTTCCACACGGAGTCATTTGCTTTTGAACACATTTGTTGAAACCCAATTCTCCATCAGTAAATCTCCTAGCACTAACACAATTAGGAACTTGAATAGTTATATTTTCATTAACCAAACCTTTCCTCAAAATTCCACTAGGTTTTAAAGATTTATTAACTTTTGTCCCACTACCAAATCCAAACAATCGATCCTCATCATAACACTGTGCAATCGGAGTATTCAAACAATCAAGAACCCTTTCTTCATCTGCACCATCCTCATCATCACTCTCAACAGTCGGACAAGACAATGATGCCACACTTTCATCATCATCACTTACACTCCCATCACGATCATGACCAACATGGCGATCACTAAATCCGAATGCGAGGTTACGCGTTGGTAGCAAAGAAGAATGGAACTTCAAAGGAGGCAAAGATGGAGACTTTGGAGTGAGATTACTGGAAACTGTGGCAGAAAGAGATGATCTTGGAAGGGGTAATTTCTCTGCTAAAGGAGCACGTGTGTTTGGATTGTGAAGATCTTCAAGTTTTACATGTGATCCCTGTTTTTCGAAGGAAAAAGTTGCAGAGAGAATTAATCAAACAGTTAGAAGGCATACAAAAAAAGAAACAGAAAGAAGGTTACTACTAACCCGATTGATCCATTGGATTGCGGTTTCATCCAAACCCTCTGTGAACATGTTGTGTTGTAAGAGAAGAAGAGCGTTTGAAGGTTCTTTGAGCTCAGAGAAGAAAAAATGGAGCTGTATGAATGTGTTAGAGAGAGAGAGAGAGTATTATTACAGAGGAGCGAAGCCGGTGGCAACGGCTAGTTTTTTGTGTGTTTTTATTATGTCAAACTAAAAAGATATCTTTTAGGAGCTTTTTGAGGAATCTTTTACTTTAATCATCTATTTTCACCCACAAAATAAAAATTGATCTGGCTTCATAATAAATAGATAATGATTATGAAATTAATTAATTAAATTAAAATACAAAATAAATTTTAAAAGAATAAAAAGTCTTTATACTAATGTTCCATCAATTTGAACGATTTGTTTCCGATGTGCAAAATTCTCTTACATACGGTTGAAAAATCCAAAATAGAAAGTTGAAGATTTTTGCACCATCGACATGTGTTTTGATTTGAATATTTCACTAATTTTTACAATAATCTGAGAATAAGGTTCGACATATTTTTATGAATAAAAACTTTTAGATTTTATTATGATTTCTTACTCTCTTTTTTTCTTGGATTCAATATTCCTTTTATGAGGTTAACCATGGCAGTAGGGGTTGGAAGAAATGTTTGTTTTTAAGGTTGAATTCGATCAAGTTAAGCAAAATTAAGAGTAAAGTTGAATTCGATCAAAGCGAGCATCATTGATTTGTTCTCATCATCTTACTAATGTTCACCTCTAAATTAAATGAGATTGAGGCATTTCACGCAAATATTTTTCATTAGTTCTAGTTTTTCTTGTTGTTTATTCCAGTATTATTCTTTCCTAATTTTTTGATTTCATTACCACTTCTCTCAAGTTTATCTAAATTTTGCAATCCTTATCATCGTTTATTACAATTTTATGTTCTTTAAACATTTCCATTATTTATTACTACTTGTTTTATTTTTATGTTTTTCTAAGTTGATGAGTTGTATTTATAATATTAAGTTTGTAACCATTTTTTATTAATGAACTTGTTTGACTTTTTTAGATTTAACACTTATATAGTTCTTTTACTCTACTAATGTCAAATAAGAGTTTAATTGTGAATATTTCAGATACCAAATTTGTTAGCTTAAGTACTGATCTGACCTGATCAGAAATGGACCGTCACGGCTGGCTCCGAGCAGAAAGCTTTTTTGAACGAGGTGGGGGGTACCTGCAAGGCACTCCGATGCTGAAGTAAGTAGGAGTACGAGCAGATAATAGTAAGTTGAGGTTAGAATGATCAATACCTGACCCTCTGGAGACAGAGGGTATTTATAGTCCCCAGCACTGGGCCAAGGTTCCTCCATTGGGCCGGGCGAATTTGGCCCAATGGAGGAACTGCCAGGTTCTACGTGGGTAGTGGGGACCCGCACGTGGTCCCCTTCCTGGATGTTCTGCGTGAAGTGCGGGCGGACGGAGACGCGGTCTTTCCGGAGTTTCGTTGGGGGAACGGTGGACTGAGTCTGCCCTAGTTGGGTTGCTCGAGACCACGTCGAGCTGGACAGCAGGGTGCCGAGCTCAACGCCAGGACGTCGAGCTGGACAGCAGGGTGTCGTGCTGGGCGTCAGGACGTGGATTTGGACAGCGGGATGTCGAGCTGGACAGCAGGATGTCGGGCACGGATGTGACCCATCTGCTCGGCGTGGTCCTCAGTAAGTCCCTTTGGATTGGGCCTTAGTAATGCTTTTGGGCCTGTCGGGCCCAGTCCAGAACAGGAGCCCCCAAGTCGTGGTTCTTTTGCGAGGAGCCATGACTTGAACCCAAGTTATTCCATCGCTGAGGTCTCGTGCCCGGGATAGAGGTGTGGGCCCTCGAGGGGCCTCCTCGTGTCGTGCTCGGAGACGTCCTCGGAGGTGGATGCGCGGAGGATCCTTACCGGGCGCGTCGGTCGAGCACACGATGTATCTTTCGGGAACTGTGCCGCCACCCTATGGGGGTAGGGCCATCATTGCGTTGGGAGCAGCGCGTCGAGGAGACGGAATCCGTGGTTGCCCGAGGTGACGTTTGGTATTCCACGTCATCACTATAAATAGGAACCTTGGGCCCCATAATACGTTTTCTGCTCTCTGTGCTCTCTCTGCTGCTGCTCTTCCAGACTTTCTCCAGTTGCGACTTCTCGTCACAGATTCTTCCATTTCGCAGCCAAATCTCACTCTTTGATCCAAGTAAGTGATCTACCTTCTTCATTTTTCCGTTTAGAAAGCATGATTTCTGGCGTTTGTAGATGTTTTAGGACCGTGCGCGTGGGATTAGCCCGGTAAACTCGGGCTTGGCCCGCCACATTCATGTCTAGGACCGGCAAACGCATGTTTGTGGCTGGCACATTCATAGTTTAGGTGATAAACTTCAGAGTTGCCCGGGGTATTCATGATCCAGGGCGCCTGATTCATGATCGCGCCCGGTATGTTCATGGTCTTGGCCGTGGGCTTCATGGTGCGGCTCGCCATGTTCATACCTCGGGTCAACATGCTTGCAGAGTGGCTGCGCAGTTGGTTTGAGGAAGAACACCGGGTTCAGGACGTCGGGGATGCGACCATTCGTGGAAAATGGACTTATGTAGTCGTGTATGGGACGACATGATTTTGTCGAGCGTAGGACTTCGTGCTCAACTGACTGGTTTCCCGTGCTCTGCAGGTAACCATGGCGGACGAGCCGAGCTCTTCCGGACGCCGCGACCGTGACGAACAGAGTGCCGACGAGTCGGTCACCCTGATTGATACCGTGACCGACCCTTCGCTGGAATGGGTGGGTGTCGAACCGCGGGGGATAGCGTCGGTATACAGCCGGGACGACCGACATCCATTCGATGTCGTTGAAGAGGGTCAAGACCAGCCCGGCTTCCAGAAAAACTTTGTAGTTATGGTTCCGTCAACCCGGGCAAGGATTTGCTCGGTCTATCCGAATTACAGCCTCGCGATGTATGAGATCGCGTTCAAAGACCTAGGGCTGCGGCTGCCATTCACTGATTTTCAGGCCGGGGTCTTTATGCACTTGGAGCTGGCCCCGTCCCAGCTACATCCAAACTCTCTCGCCTTCATCCGGGCGTTTGAGTTGACGTGTCGCTACCTGAGGATCGGGGCGACCATCCCTCTTTTCTTCCGGGTATTTCACCTGCAGCGTCAGTCCCGAGGAGGGAAACATAGTTGGGTCTCCCTGAAGCAGTCGAGGAGACTCTTTAAGATGTATATGGACTCCGTGAGGGGGTTTAAAGACAAGTGGTACGTGGTACGGCCAATTACCGACGCTGCTTTAAATTCCCTTTTCGAAGAGGAGGGGCCAGTGAGCGACGATGATGGGGAAACGATGATGAGCGACGATGGGAGCCCTGTGTTGGGTCGTAGGGCTAAAATCCCGGTGTACTGGATGTCCCGACATTACGAGCATGGGACCGGTTATTACCATACCGCCGTCGGGGACATGTGCGCGGAAGATGAGCGGGCGTACGACGCTCTTTGCCGGTTTGTCGACAGTTTCCATCCCGCCCGATGGGTTACGCGGGAAGGGGATGATATCCTGGACAAAGATGGTTACCCGACGTTCGAGTCCCGTCCGATCGACACCAAGACGCTGGTGGAGTGTCCGACTTACAGGCAGGCTGCCCGCCCGTTAGGTTGTTTGCTTGAAATTCTTTATTCGTCATTTACTCGTGAAGTTTGCTCGATACTGAATTTTCCTTTATTTCGTGCAGGTACGATGGCTAGCCGACATGAAAGGCTCCTGAAATTATCCTGCGACCAGAGGCGGGGCAGGAGGGTCGTGAAGGCCCCACAGGCGACGAGGATGGGTCCCCCATCTGGTCCAAATGTTCCTCAGCCGGTGAGGGTAGACTCGCAGTCGAGCTCGGGACCCGCGTCGGATCCAGAGGTCGAGGAGATCGACCCCAATGCCGTTTTGACGCAGAGGAAGAGGACCCGTGTGGAAGGTGGTCCGACTGTCGGCGAGGACGCCGGCGCTGTTAGATCTTTCGCCTTCCCCCCTTGTTTCGAAGAGGCGGGCTTTTTCGAGCGATTCCCCTCGACAGTGGTTGCCCATGAAGCTGAAGCCATAAAAAAGATGAGCAAAGAGGAAAGGAAGGCGTATCTGGCCGCCAGCATGGATGGGCTGGTAAAAATGGCCGAGATGGCTTTGGTGCTATCTGAGGATGGAGGGGATGCTGCCCGTGTTGAAGAACTCGAGCAGGAGAAGGCGACCCTGGCCGCGAGCTCGCGGAAGTTGAAGGTCGCTCTGGAACGCTCCGAGGGGATGTTCCGAGAGCAGACAGCGGTGCTCGATGCTGAGAGGGAGATGTTGACCCTGGAGAAGGAGAAGTCGGGGAAGTTGACTGAGGAAGGGGAGCTTCTTCGGGCAGACAGGGATCGCCTGACGGCCGAAGTCGAACGCTTGGGCAAACAGGTCGAGGAAATGAATGCTGCCCTGCAACCTGCCGAAGATGAGCCCGAGGACATAGTAGCTTTGAAGAGTCGGGTGGAGCTGGTCGCCCACATCCGGCTCCTCGAGGTGGACTGCGTCGGTGCCCTGGAGGACGGGTTCAATTCTGCGGTCGATCAACTCTCCTTGCTAAACCCTGGCTTGGTCACTGAGGGTATCGGTCACACACACCGGATTGTAGGTGGCATGATCGTTCCTCCGCCCGACTCTCCGAACGCCGACAATGATGATTCCGTGGAAGTCTGAGTAGGATAGCGGGCCTGCGTGCCCTTGATATTTGTATTCTTTGGGCCTGCGTGCCCGTTTATTGTATGTTATGAACATCGTCGGCCTTCTTGGTCGGTTTACTATTGTTTTGTTGCCTTCGGGCATTTATATCAATGTTGTTTTACATTTTGGATTTTTTGCCCTTGTTTGAAATCATATATTTGCATGAATTCCTAGCCTAAGTCACGGGCCCGAGGAGTGCCCGTAAGTGGCCTTAATTTGGCGAGCGAGTCTGCCCGCCTCCGTTTGTATGCGTTCCCGGCCCTATTTCGATTGGCCAGAGTCACCTAAGTGTT